GTACCTGCTCCAACACTGACCTCCATTGTTCCCTCAGCCCTTCACCCCACTGTGGTGCCAGGGCCATGAGCACATCAGCAGCATCCTCATCCAATGCTCTTTCCCATTTTTTTTGAGAATCTTCTGTATAAAGTTCTCCTAAAACACAGCTATTGGTGTCCAGTGGTGGTTCTAACCCGGGGTGGTGCCGGTTCTGTCGCTCTGCAGATCTTCGGCCTCATCCTTTACCATGARAGCGTCACATGGAGCACAGACCCGACACAATGAGCCTGATGGACATCAACAAGATGTTCTCCATGCTGCAGCCCGGGGATGACGAGGAGGACGGCGGGGACAGCGAGGAGCTGAGCCGGGCGGTGTGCGAGGACGATCACGAGAGGCTGGACAGGCTCCTGTCCCAGGAGCGCTACAAGAAGCTCATCAACCGCAGGAGCGGCTGGGGCGTCCCCAGCACCCCCCTGCGCCTGGCGGCCACCTGGGGCTGCGTGCGGAGCCTGCGGGTGCTGCTGGCGCACGGCGCCGAGGTGGACAGCCTGGACGTGAAGGCGCAGACCCCGCTCTTCGTGGCGGTCAGCAACGGGCACGGCGAGTGCGCCCGGGCGCTGCTGGAGAGCGGCGCCAGCCCCGCGGGCAGCGCCTACAACAACTGCTCGCCGCTGCTGCTGGCGGCCCGCGACGGCCGCGCCGACATGGTGAGGCTGCTGCTGGAGCACGGAGCCCAGGCCAACGTGCAGGCCCGGCTGCCCGAGTGGGCGGCCAACTCGGTGGCGTGCTCGGGGCCGCTCTACCTGGCGGCCGCCTACGGGCACCTCGAGTGCTTCCGCCTGCTGCTGCTGCACGGCGCCGACCCCGACTACAACTGCACGGACGCGGCGCTGATGGCGCAGATCCGCGAGCCCAARACGCTGCTGGAGAGCTGCGTGAGGCACGGCTGCCGCGCCGCCTTCGTCAGGCTGCTCATCGACTTCGGAGCCAACGTGTACCTGCCCGGCGTGCCCGCGGACGGCGCGGCCCCGCGCAGCGAGGGGCTGCAGCTGCTGCTGCACGCCAGAGGTGAGCCGGCTGCRGGGGCTGCCCTGGGCACGGCTTTGCTCTGATTCCCCTTCCCTCTGCTTCCCGACAGCCTTTCCCTGCAACCTCAGCTCCCTTTGCAGCATCACTTGACTCTGCGGGTCTGTGGCTGCCKCTGGATCCCTGGAAGGGTCCAAGGCCAGGCTGGAGCACCSTGGGACAGTGGAASATGTCCCTGTCCATSACAGGAGGTGGAATGGGATGAGCTTTGAGGTCCCTTCCAACCCAAACSATTTTGTGAATCTGAATTAGAAACATCCATAAAATGTCTGGATTTTAAGAACTTCCTTTTAATCTGCATTGTGCAGCCCAGTTTTTAGGTTCAGCTKTAGGGCTGCTTGGAGCAACCTGGGATARTGGAAGGTRTCCCTGCTCCTGGAACTGGATGARCTTTAAGGTCCCTTCYAATCCAAACCATTCTGTGATTCCATGATTCCCACAGCCTGTTTTTTCCATTCAATTACAGGATGCTTTTCATCCTTCCTCTCCTTACTGCTGCTCAGCTTGGGCTCTTCTCTACTGCCTGTGTCAAAAATCCTGCAATTATTTCCAAGTGGGGATAGAAGATTTCTCCRTGCCCAGCTCCCACAGGAGCTTGTGCCTGAGTTCACAGCCCCAGCCCCAGCACAGAGGTTGAGCTTTCACAGGATCATGGAATGGATTGAGTCAGAAAGGCCTTAAAGATGATTTAATCCAGCCCTGTCTGGTTTTGATCTATCCGTGTCCCTTTGCTTTGGATAAGGTTGGAGGGGAGCAGGGTTGTCCTGAAGGTGACCATGTGCTTTTCCTTCCACAGCTCATCCCAARTCCCTGCTGTCCCAGTCCCGGCTGGCCATGAGGCGCCTCCTGAAGCAGCCGGGCCACCTGGCCACCCTCAGAGAGCTGGAGATCCCCACAGCCCTGGTCAGGTACCTGCAGCACCAGCCGTGATCCCCAGCCTGCCTCCAGGGACACCTGCTCCCAGCAACCCAAACCTGCTCACCTGAGAGTGAATCCCTGAAATCCGTGAAACTCTGGGAATTTGCAGTCACGAGTTCATTGTTGCTGAGGAGGTRTCTCCAGAAAGCGGAGCCTGTGTGCAAAGCTGAGAAGAGAAGGAGGAGAGAGAACAGAACACCCCAGCTCTTGGTTTGCAGGATAGAGCAGGATGTGATGCCCTGGGTTTGCCTCTCCGGAGGGATTTTACACTTTTAGTTGATGCTGGTTGGAGAAGGGGTTGGGTCGAAAGGGAAAGGTGTGAAGGACAGAAGGGCAGGAGCTTTTCCTTCACCCCTTCCGGGGGGACACGGCCAGGTTCCATAGCTGCAGGTTTACCTGCGGGTTTCCCCACAAAGGGGCATCTGCTGCCCCTGAATCCCTATTCCCTGTAAGGGTGGGCAGGCCCTGGCACAGGGTGCCCAGAGAAGCTGTGGCTGCCCCTGGATCCCTGGCAGTGCCCAAGGCCAGGCTGGACATTGGGGCTGGGAGCAGCCTGGGACAGTGGGAGRTGTCCCTGCCCATGGACTGGCTGGGCTTTGAGGTCCCTGATGATTCCATCATTCCCAGAGAARCTCCCAAGTGCCTCTSGCACTGGGAAGGGGCAGGAYTGGGGCTGGCCCCAGCCGTGTGTGCCCAGCCCAGTGCGGCAGAGACCAGTGCTCCCCGCTGGCAGCACAGGCAGGGGCTGGGAGATCCAACTCATCTCCCTGCCCCAGCTCTGACCCGAAACATCACCTTGTCACCCCAAAAGTGCTTCACGTTGTGGCTGAGGGTCTTTTGGGACTGGGCAGGATTGGAGTTTTCATTAAAAGTGTTGCTGTTATTGGTATTGAACTGCTGTGCCCTGTCTGGTGAAACATCCCGTGTTTGAGGGGCCCACAGCCCTRCAGGGAACCGCTGCAGATGGGGAATTTCAGGCTGGAGTGRGACACCCCAGCACCACCTTTGGGTSKCTCCATCTCTCCTGCCTTGGACACCGGGGATCGCCCTCACTGGTGGGGGGCTGGAGGTGCCTTCCTGGCCCTTCCCACAGCCAGGAGCCCATGGATAAACCCCACTGCTCCTCGTGGTGATGCTCTGGACCATTTTTGGGATGCGGCAGAACGTGTCCCATGGTTTATTGAATCCCAAAGGGAAGCGCTCCCAGGTGCGGTCAGAGCCCTGCCTCAGCATCTCCAAGGATCGTTCTTGGCCAAACCCAAGTGCATTCCTGCAAGGATTAATGGGTTTGTGTCAGGGGTTCTATTGTGGGATCTATTAATCAGCATCTGTTAATTAGGCTGTGGGGCCTCTCCCAAGGGGAGCATTAGGGCCTGGAATCAGCCTGGACCAGGCGCTGGGAATTGCTCCATGGGGAATGATGATGTTTGTGTCACTTCCCACCCAGCCGCCATTGGGAACACAAGGGGACATGGGGGGCTGGGAGGGGCTGCCCGCAGGGACATTGCCACGCTCCGGTGGGGATTCCCACTCGTGGCATCCTTACTGTCACCCTGATGTGGGAACCCGGGGAGCTTTTGGGGTTTGGGGGTCCCCAAAATGAGGAGGGGTCTTCACTGCCGAGGCTGCTCAGGGGGGTGTGATGGTGGGTGTGATCAGATGTGCGGTGCGGGGGGGGCTGGGAGCCGCGTGTGCAGTGGCCGTGGGTGACACAGCACACGCGGGAAGGTGCACCGGCGCCACGCGGCAAACAGGAGGGGGCGGCCATGTCACCGCCTCCCTCCCCCCGCATCACACCCGCTCACACGGTGTCACATCCCTGACAATGTCACAGACCCCCCCCTCGTGTCCGTGACCCCGCGTGTCCCACGGCCACCTCAGCACCGCCCCAAGGCCGCGCCCCCGCACGAGGCCACGCCCCCCGCACGAGGCCACGCCCCCGGCGCACCGTCTGACCACGCCCCCTTGTCAATCATACCTTCCAACAAGGCCACGCCCCAACTCGAGGGACCCGCCCGTGAGGCCACGCCCACTCCACCCCCCAGACCCCCCGGGGAGATCCCGCGCTGCCGCCCCGAGGCCACGCCCTCTCCGCCATGGGAGGGCCCCGTGGAGACCACGCCCAGCAGCCCCCCCCCATAGTGACCACGCCCCTTCTCGTTGGGTCCATTCAGAGACCACGCCCCCATGGGCAGGGCGCGCCCCTCACCGCCGTGACCCACCCATTGAGGCACAAACCCGTCAATCACCGCGCTCCGCC